TATTCCCCCGGTGAATCTATCATGCTTCGTTTATAGTAAAATACACTTTTAATTATACACAATAAAGAATCCATTAATTATGTAAGCCTTTTTATTGTATTTATTAATACAATGAATTCTCTCAATAAAAGGGGAGTGCATACATCGTTGGTGGAAATTAAGGGAATGGAAGCCTTTTCATATCCTAGGAACATTAAATTAATTACCTAAGAATTTTCTATCTGCCTTGTACGGGTTTTGGTCATTTATTATGCTGATTGGGAGCCAATCAGTTTTACTTTTTGGGTTAACTATACATGAATGCAAATTTAATTAGACGAGGGCAATTGGGAACAAAGTGGAATGATATGATCTCAATTAAACCTCTCTACAATATACAATGGCTTGAACAGAAGCAACCTTACCCGCAAGTTGGAAGCTGGAATTTTGGTCAAGTCCCTTTGTCATTTCGTGTAGCTCACTTTGGAAGCCTGTTCGTCACGCATGGCTCGATGAAAATGAGATTTTATTGATTTGTATTGAACCTGTGATATTTTTCAACACCAGGGATTACTTGGGAGCTGGAGATCAAGTCCAGAAAGTCTCTTTTCAGGTTGTGCAAAAGTGTAACTGGAAAGCTGGAAATTGCCACTTCTTGGCTAAGGTAGTAGCCAGGTTAAAGCTAGATACTTTGAGACTCGATTCGGAAGGGATGGCTGTCCGAAAAGTCAATATAGTTTCCACGAAAAAAACAAACCAAACCAAACCAAAAACCAAATATAGAAAGCATTCACCAAACCAAACCAAAAACCGTTGTCCATCATCTTGAAAAAAAAAACATAACATGGTTATCCATCATCTTGTAAAAAAACGCAAAATCAGGTTGTCCTTGGACTCTTTGACTGGGTTTCCTTATGCTCTTCTCTTTCCTTTTTCCTCCTTTCATAGGCTTTCTTGTACTCTTCGACTGCAGCTTCAACTTGAGGTGCAACTGTTCTTGCTTCTGTGAGCACCATATGTCTTATGTAGTTCATGGGCTCTCGAACAAGGTACAAAGCGATCTGCATCCTCCTCACTTGAGTGCATGGCTATCAACATCAACAAACATGGTGCTTAACGCATGATTCAAAAATAACAATCAAGTGTGGTTTTCTAATATGCGAACTAGAATTGTCTTTACCCAAATATAAGAGAAGTCCCAGCTTGCGCCATACATCCACATGCTGACCCAGAATCCACTGCCAGACCTACATAAAATGAAAGCATTGCATGATAAACAAGTTGATAAGCCGTCGTTTAATATCACACAAAATGGGCATACTTACCGATGAAATTGTTCTTGATCCTTTGAAGGATTTGCGTACGAAAACTCCGCAATCCTTGGTGGCGACAATCCCAGACCTTGTTCACGATAGAGAATCTTCCACAAGGCTTGCATAAATCACATCTGTACAAATTAAGAAACGTTTGTATTTAGAAAGAGGTATTTACATTTTTTGCGTTATAACGGCACAATGTCACAAATTTACCATTGTTTGAACAGATTGTAGTCGAAAGGAATTGCGGTCTTCATTTGGTTGTGGATCCAAGATATGGACTTCTTCCTTGTCCAACTTAATGAGAGCCAAGTACCAATGAGCATTATCTCTCATCGGAACACACACATACATATGCGGAAATTGTCAACACGTATTAAAAAAACAAACTGCAACCCATGTAATACTTATTAAGATGAACAGTTTACCTTGTTCACCATATTGGTTCGACTAAGGAATTTTGATTTGTATAGGTCTAATGCCCTCTTGGGTGTTATTCCACATGAAATCACTAGTTCCTGCCCATGTGGTAGTTGCACAATTGAAATTTTGTCAACATAATATCATTCACATTAAAAAAACATGTGTTGTATTTTTTTGGATTTGCTCATCATCGTATTCCATACCAGTAGGTAGCTTAAACTTCAAAACAACTTGGAATAGGGACCACAAATAAACACGACTCGAAATGCATTCGTTATGTCTGATGGAATAACGACAAGGAACACTTCAATGGCAAACATGACACCTTTATTACCTTGTCAACAGAACTTAGATAAATACTTTTTCCATTTGGCTTCTTTGGTGTTACCTCAGAGTCAGATTCATCGTCCGAAATAAAAACGATGACTGAAGCAGGAGTGGATGGAGTGCTTACACCTTTGGGTAGCCTTGGTTTCTTTGTTCGAGTCACAATTCGGCGGTCTCCTTCAATGACAGTGAACCTATGATTAATAAATTAACTAGTTAGAATTTCAATGGTTAAAGAGCTATTAGACATACCACAAGCTTGGACGAAGAGCGAGTAATCCTCCTATTTTCCATGTTGTGCCTCTAAGCTTTAGTCTGTACTCAAAATTGCGGCAAAGAAGGATATGGAACCACTGCTCTACCGCTGAAGATTAATTATATATACAAGGTTAGGATAAAATGTGGCGGCATATTTTTTCCGCGGAAAAATAGTTAGGGTTTAGTCTAAGGTACATGAACTTGGGATAAACATGGGTAGTTATTAAACCTAAAATTAATTTTTTTTCAATTAAATAAAAAATTGAGTGCTATTAGTAAATATTCGCTCATATTAATATTTGATCCTTCCCCATACACGTAGTACACAGCTAGAGTCAGCTGGCGTTTGGCTTTACTAAACTAGGGATGGCAAAAATATTCGTAACCATGGATATCCATCTGAATCCGACCTAATCGGGTAGGGTAAAATCCAAACCCGAAGGACTTTTTGTGGGTACAGGTAAAACCCGAACCCGAATATTGCGGGTAATGGGTGGGCATGATTTTCTCACTATCCAACCCGAACCCGCCCGATTATACACATGCATATGTGTTTTGTATATAAATAATCATTATTTTCTCTAACATATTTTATATTTAGCATATAAGTATAATATTTTCATGAAATTGTGTTGTTTTAATTAATTTTCTTCATTCTAGTGAATTATTGTCGTACTTTTCCTCTTATGTAATGTGAGACTACGTGTGAATGTTCACATGGAGTTATAAAGAGAAATTATTACCCAATGGATAACCGTGGATACCTGAAACCCGAACGGGTATGGGCATGGTTTTGATTTTCTGCCCATTTTTTATGTGGGTATGGGTATGGGTAAACCCCGAGCTACTTTGGGTAGTGTAACGGATATGCATTATCCGCGCCCGACCCGACCCGACCCATTGCCATCCCTATACTAAACATTCCTTTTCATATTAAATATTTTCGTTATTTCTGAAAATGGTAAAGAAATCACTAAGATAAAGAAGAGAAAGTTCAACTCGTTCCTACTCAAAAGATAAGATATCACAAATCATGTTATTAATGGGGATAATTATTAAGTGGCCCATTCAAGCATTAATTCGGCCATCATTCCCAGTAGGGTTTTGTAATCTACATCTTTGGTTCCCCAAAATTTCCAACAGTGACAATGACGTCGGAGGCAGACCCAGCATTGACGTCGGAGGAAGTCCTACTATTGACGTCGGAGTCAGTCCAAAAAAACGATAGTGCCGGAGCCAGTCACACCAGCCAGGAAGATAATGTTGCCGATCTCATATTTCTACAGCCTGGAGATATTAAAAAAATGAAGTTCGATGATACAGAAGAAGCCTATGATTTCTACATGGACTACGGGTTAGTCAAAGGCTTCGACATCAGAAAATCAGACATTGTTCGTGATAAGAACAAAGTTATGATATGGCGTGACTATGTATGCTCTGGCGAGGGAAAGAGGCGCATGAAGGGCACAGAATGAAAGAGAGAAGCAAGAGGGGAGACTATATTTAAGTGCAGAGCCAAGATGCGTGTTAAACAAGACAAGGTCGATGGGAAGTGGTATGTGCACCAGTTTGATGATGTACACACACATGAAACGATCCCCAGAGAATATAGACACTACATGAAAGGGAAACGTCGTATGAGTGATGCAGTCAAAGCAGCGATAAATTTTAGAAGAGCTGCAGGTATGAAAACTTCTCAAATTGTGAATCTGGCCGTATCAGAAGCAGGAGACTACGACAATTTGGGGTACACGAGAAAGGATGCATATAATTATATGGACAAAGCACTACAGGAAATCTGGTATTTAAACACGGGATCTTAATCACGGGGATGTTTCCCGTATTAAGAAGTATACTAATAGGTACGGGAAAAATTACTGTATTTGATTGCATAGTTCTAAACACGGGATTCTATTTAGTTATTTTTAGTCTTCATTTCCCGTGACTACTTGAAGTTAGAGTTCTAAACACGGTTAATTACCATGAATAATGTGACAATTCATCTTTCCAAAATTTAGGTGAAAATCAAGATGAACTTAAAAAGAATCATAAAACAAATTGATTTGGCCCCTACGAGAACGTTAATATGTATAGATAAAAAAAATTTAACTTAAAAAATTTAATTGGAATTGGGGACTCTTTCAATTGGGATTTAATCTCTAATGTTCTAGCTCACCAATTGTCATTTAAGCTCTGATTGACCTAGCAGGGATTTAATTTCTAATGTTAATGGGGATTTAGTCTCCCGCCAGCTACAAATAATTGGAGACTAATCTCTAATAAACAAATATATTGGCCCCAGCTCTGTATCCAACTCCAGCCAAAAATTTACTTCCCTGCCGCTTTCCTTATCCCCGCCAGCGCCAGCGCTTTCCTTATCCCGCTCAGCCAAAATTTTCGTTCCAAAATCCCCGCCAAGCTGCCGCCAAATAATTCTCCCCGCCAGCTCTCCCCGCCAGTTTTTTCCATGGTTTTCGTTCCATAAAACTCTCCCGCCCACTGATTCCCCGCCTCTCCAATCCTAAATTTTCGCGGCCCAACTTTTGGCTCCGTAAGACAAAAACTTGGCTCACCCAAATTCTTAAATTACGCCCAAATCTTTGTCGAGCCCTCCATCCCAAAAAAGCTCTCTCCGTTTTTCATGTCTTAAAAACATTGTTGCCTGCAAATTTCTTCTTCTATCAATCTCAATCTAAACACTGTTCCCTGCAACTAAGGTATGTCTTCTAGAATAACTTCCCTTCCTTACTTCCTTCCTTTATTTGGGGATCAACAAGCATGGAAGGTCGATTTTGGGTAGGTGATGAGGGGTGGGTGATCTTTAGGGTAGGGGATGAAGGGTGGGTGATTTTGGGGAAAAGTGAGTCTGATAATCTAATTGCTTTCTCAAAATCTGCAGTCTTTATCTGATTTTGGGGAAAGTGGGTCTGATTCTCATTACATCTTTTTCTTTCCCTGCAGAGAACATAATGAAGGCTGGACAAAATCTCAAGGTGAATGGTAATCAAAACCAGAAGGTCAAGGGTGCTCAATCTCGTGATAATGGCAAAGGGACAAAAAAAACAAGAACTCCAGCAAAATATGTTGCACCTGGCTCGCTTGGGAGGAGAGTTCCAAATCGGCCAACTTCATTCTCCACCATAACATGTTCATCAGATGTGGCTTCCAAATCTCTTCCTATGCCACGACCACAAGCAACACATAGGAATGGTAGGCACCTTATGTAATTCTTAATAAAACATTCCAATTCAGGAATGCTACTAACTAGTTGAATCATTTTTGAAGCTCCTGATGTAACTAATAATGTGAGTGTTGGGAGAAACACACCTTCGCCTCCAGTGGAACCAACAATGGAAGATGCAGAAGTGGAACCAGCTGTTGAAGATGGAGAAGTGGAACCAGCTGTGGCTACTAATGCAGAATCAACTAATAGAGGCAAGTTTGTAACTCGAAGTGCTTGTATCTTTGTTAAGTATGAAGGTACTGATGATTTTATTGCTATTAATGGTGCTGGTTTTTCAAACTATTGGCATTGCAGTTAGAAAGAAAAATGTTCGAGGGAAAAGCATGTGCAAGGCAGTTGCTAGACTTAGGCGTGGTGAGAAGCTTCCAATTGCCTTCTACAACAATCGTGCTGTTGGGGTAAATAGGGCTACTTGGTCAAGCTTTATAGGATTAGTTGTTCGCAATCCTCAAATCTGCTCTTTCCGATCACGAAGATGGAAATCCAAGAGTCGCTCAGAACTTGAGCATATGTGGGCTGCACTTACAGTAAGGAACACACTGTGATTCTATCTTATGGTTGTAGGATATATATGTTACTGTATTGTGATGATTCTATCTTGTGATTCATGTAATTCATGTAACAATGTGATCTGTCTTGTGATTCTGTCTATGATACTGCCAAGTAATTCATGTAATTATGTGATTCTGTCTTGTGATTCTGTCTTGTGATTCTGTCTATGATACTGCCAAGTAATTCATGTAATTATGTGATTCTGTCTTATGATTTTGTTTAATGACACTGCCAAGTAATTCATGTAATCAATTTTAAATGACTGCAGGAATATTTCTACAATCCAAATATGATAGACTATAAGCATCACACTTTGATTCATATGCGGGAGCGTTGGAACAAATGGAGATCTGTCTTGTATCGTCAATATGCAAAGACATGTGGCAGTCAAGAAGAGGCTTTGAAAAATAAGCCAGATGCTGTAGCTAACAAAGAAGATTGGGAATGGTGTGTGAACCATGTTTTCTACACTGCTGAGTTTCAGGTTGTTACAGAAATTCGGTCGTGTTCTTGTAATTGTAATTTAGTGGTGCTTATCAAAATGGTGTTTCTAAGGTGTTTATCTTCGATTGCAGAAATTGAGCAAGAATAATGCACTGAATAGAATGAAGAAATCCATGAATCATCATAGTGGACCTATTACCAGAGGGTTCATCTTTGCCAGACTCATATTATGAATCAAAAAAGACCATACAGGATCTTGGCCTCTCATACACAAAAATTGATGTTTGTGAGCATAGTTGCATGTTGTTTTGGAAGGATGATGCACAACTTGACGATTGCAAGGTATGCCATGCATCTAGATGGAAGGTTGACAAACATAGTGGGGAAGTCATGACTAAAGCCAATGGAAAGAAGCTGCCGAAGAAGACTTTACGTTATTTTCCACTAAAACCAAGACTTCAACGGTTATATTTGTCAACAAAGATAGCTTCTCTAATGACTTGGCATCATGAAAACAAGGCTGGTGGTGAAGTCATGAGACATCCAAGTGATTCCTTAGCATGGAAATCCTTTGATGGCCTCCATCAATCTTTTTCAGCAGACCCTCGGAATGTGAGGCTTGCTTTAGCTAGTGACGGCTTCCAACCGTTTGCACATTCTAAGACTCCCTATAGTATCTGGCCAGTGGTTTTAATTCCATACAACCTTCCTCCTTCGATGATTATGAAGCCCTCCAATTTTATTCTATCAATGCTAATTCCTGGTCCAGAAAGTCCTGGAGATGCTATAGATGTATATTTGCAGCCGTTGATTGAAGATCTCAAAGATTTATGGGAAGAAGGTGTGACTACTTTTGACTCATCCAAAAGGCAAAATTTTCACTTACGGGCAGCCTTGTTGTGGACAATCAATGATTTTCCCGCGTATGCCAACTTATCGGGGTGGAGTACAAAGGGAAGGTTGGCTTGTCCTGTTTGCAGTAAGGATACAAAGTCTGAGTGGTTGTATAACGGAAGGAAGTTTTGTTATATGGGTCATCGATGTTGGCTCTCTAATGGTCATAGGTGGAGAAAAGACAAAGATGCATTTGATGGGACAATTGAGAAACGAGGGCAGCCAAGAATATTCTCGGGAGATGAAGTACTTGATCAAGTACAAGATCTTGAAGGGATTCCCTTGACAAAGTGTCAAAAAGTGAAAGTGAAGATATCACATGATGAAAGAGGAGACAATTGGAAGAAAAAGAGCATCTTTTTTGATCTTCCATACTGGAAAACACTTTTGTTGCGTCATAATTTAGATGTGATGCACATTGAGAAGAATGTTTGTGATAATGTTCTCGGGACAATCATGAATTTGAAGGGAAAGACCAAAGATACTATGAAAGCCCGCCTTGACCTGGAGGAGATGAAACTAAGAGCAGAATTGCATCCCAATCGTTCAGGAGGAAAGTTGGATATGCCGCAAGCAAGGTACACATTGATGCGAGATGGAAAACGTAAGTTTTGTCACTTCTTAAAGAGAATGAAGGTTCCTGATGGCTTTTCGTCTAACATATCTCATTGCGTAAATGTAGATGAACATAATATATCTGGTTTAAAAAGCCATGATTGTCATGTTCTTCTACAACATCTTATTCCACTTGCAATACGTGGTCTTTTACCAAAGGATGTTTGTGACCCTCTAATAGAATTGTCACTCTATTTCAAGAGCTTGTGTTCAAAATCACTCAATGTGGAAGAGTTGGATAGAATCAAAGCTAGAATTCCAGTGACCCTTTGTAAACTTGAGAAGATCTTTCCTCCCGCATTTTTTGATGTTATGGTACATCTACCTGTGCATTTGGCTGACGAGGCTATGGTTGGGGGACCAGTACAGTTTAGATGGATGTACCCTATTGAGCGGTATTTGCATGATTTGAAGTCATATGTTCGAAACAGAACGCATCCTGAGGCTTCCATTGCAGAAGGATATATCGCCTCGGAATGCATGACTCTTTGCTCTAGATACTTGAGTGGAATACAAACAAAGTTCAACAGGGTGGATAGGAATTATGATGGAAATGATTTTCAAGACTTTCTTGAATTCTCACAAGTCGGCCGATTCTTGGGTAGTAATGCCAATGTTCGCAGCCTTAGTCCACAAGAATTAGAGCAAGCACACATTTATGTGATGAAGAACACGGAGGAAGTACAACCATTTCTCGAGTAAGATTTTCATTATTGTTTTAACGATCTCTTTATTTGTTGATGCGATGTTTCTAATTATGTTATTACTTGTTGTAGAGAATTTTCTCATCTTTGTGAGCATGACTTGTTGGGAGGAAACTATAAGAAGGACGATGCAGGGTTCATTTCTTGGTTCAGGCAAAAGGTATGTTCTTACTTTTTTTATAATTGTAAGTCAAAATCAAAATGTTTGTTGGTGGGTTAGTTTTATACTTCTTGGTGAATACAAAACATAATCATGTTTAAGTTGATGGTAAGTCCTTTTCCCTTTTCAGTCTGTGCTTTCCTTTTCAGATAAAGTCTTGTAATCATTGTTTTTGTGTAGCTGTACAGTTTTCTCTCTCCATCTTCTTTCCATAAATGTGCTGTAAAATTATCGATTGCAGGTAGCAAACTCCTACGAACCTAATAAGAGTAAGAGGTCGGATGAGCTTTTGGCACTATCACGAGGCCCTGCTCAAAGCGTCAAATATTATTCAGGTTATGTGCTAAATGGTTTTCGCTTTCACACAAAGGATCATGACAAGAATTTGAGGACACAAAATTATGGTGTCGTTGTAGTTGGTGATGATGGAGTTGATGTGAATGCAGTAGACTATTATGGGGTTTTGAGAGAGGTGATTGAGTTACAATTTCTTGGAGGAAGATCACTTGCTTTGTTTAGGTGTGATTGGTGTGATGTATATGATAAGACAAAAGGGTTGAAAGTGGATGAGCATGGGTTTGTGAGTGTCAACCTTAACAGAATGCTTAAGACAAATGAGCCATTTGTGCTAGCAAGTCAGGTATCCCAGGTGTTTTATGCAGAAGACAATATGAATAAGAATTGGCACTTGGCTGTAAAGGTGTTACCCCGAGCTATGGATGTGTTGGAAAATGAATATAACGCTGCTGGTGAAGCAAGTGAAATGGTTCAACCTACTGATTGGTAATGTTTAGTTCTGGTTTTTCGTTATATCTACTATTGCCAAGTGTTTTGTTTTGTCAACCATGTCTAGTTTGCTCATATTACAATGTTTCCTTATTACAGACTGTTCTGCAACAGACTATTTGGCAGCAGATTGTTTGGCAGCATCAAAGGAACTAATGATGTAAGTCAAGTCAGGAAAGCAAGTGCAATGTGATTGGTTTTAGCAAATGCTAGGAACTCTCTCAATATGTTTGACACTGTTGTTGTTGTGCTAATTCTCATGCACTTTTGTTGTTGCTGTGCTTTTAGGGTTGGTGAGCTATAGGAAGTTGTAAATACAAGAAATGAATTGGAGATATTCTGAGTTGTTATGGTGCAAGGATTGGCAAAGATCGTTGAATGGGCAGAGTGCAAGAAAGCGAAGTAGATTGTACCATTATTGAATTATTAGCTACAACGTTTGAAACTCTTTTGTTTGCTATATTATTACACTATTGTTGACAAGAATCTTTAATACAATCGGTTTATAATTAATAGCAAGAAAATTTGTTGTTATTGCTTTAGAGAAACACTCTGGCCAGGGGTATGCATGTAATCATAGAAAATACTGTGACTAGTGGTTTCTGGGTAGTCATGGGAAATCCCGTGTTTAGTGATCTCCATGTAGTCATGGGAATTACAGTGACCAATGGTTTGTAATTTGTCACGGGAAATGCCGTGAATAGTGGTTTGTATCTAGTCACGGGAAAATACCATGACAAA